AAAGAGTGTTTTCAGAGTGGGAAAGTGTTCTGCATTGAACGTAACAAATAGTAGTCGGATGACGCAGTCTGGACTATAAAGCAGGAGAGGTAAAACTTCCCCACCCTCTGTTTCTCAATAGTTGTTAACAGATAATGAACATGTGGTCATATCTAGCGGGCATATTCTAAGACGTTTTCGGCCGATACTCGGTGTAAATGAATTAGATGCGTTTAGTCTAGATTCCCTGTGATGATCTGGTCAGATTGCACCCGTTTTAGAAAGGAATTTATTGGTCTCATCTCTTGAGATCAAGAACAAAACAAGTTAAATTCGGCCAGTCTGATCTGAAGTAAAACATATCCCAGAGAGTGTGATCTGAATTGATCGAAGTAAAAAGTAGTTGGACAGCGCAAGGTCTAGACTATAAAGCAAAGCTTTCTAACCACAACTTTATAAAAAGTTCTGGTCAGATTACACGAGCTTTATTTAGAAAGGACACTCTATTGTTCTCATTTATTGAGATCAAGACCGAATCGAGTCAATTTTGGTCAATCTGATCTGAAGTAAAACATATCCCAAAGAGTGTGATCTGAATTGATCGCAGTAAAAAGTAGTCAAACGGGGCAAAGTCTAGACCATAAAGCAAAGCTTTCCAACCACAACTTTATAAAAAGTTGCGTGTCCATTAATGAATATTACGTTTTAATCTCTGACCGTTTTTCGATACGAAATCCCAGGGAAGGTCCGTCTAAATTTTAGCTGCTTTTAAGAGATAGAATCCTTTTGGTCCCAACAAAGCATGGATATATTGGCTTAGACGTCGAAATATAAATGAAAAAATCTTTTTAATTTTATAAATCAAGGTTTTAGATTTGAAAGTTTGTTACCTTTGTTTCCCCATAAAATTGTACGTTTTTATCTTGAATTTCTAAAAAATCTGTTATAATCTTTTAAATATTATTTGTTTACCACATTCTTATCAGCGAAAGTACTAAACTTAACAAACAACCTACCACTACACATTTTACTACGTACCTACATCGTATGTTTTGAAGTGTTTTTTTTTTTTTTTAATTTTATTTAATTTTTATGAAAATTTATACCACAAACACTGAAAAGCCCCAATATAGAGGAGAAACAGAGACCAACAAGAAAAAAACCACGCTATAATTTTTTGACACGCTGAAATAGAAGAAGTGTAAAATGAAAGAATAAATAAAATAAAATAGAAAATATATTTTGAAAAAAAAAAAAAAACTGTTTATGTGTAGAAAAAAAAATATCTATAAAAGAAATCTACTACGTCGCAAAAAAATATAAAATAAAATGTTTAACACTAATTAATACTCAAGATGTTTGCTTATTATGACAGAGTTTTTTTTATATATATATTTTTCTATAACAACATTTTAGTTGACAATTTGTTTATTTTATTATGATTTTGATAAAAAAAAATATATAGAATAATTAATAACAATAATAAAAAAATTAGCAGAGTTTTATTATAATAAACAACAACAGCAGCTATTATGGTGTTAATACCTATATTTTTGCAAAAAATAAAAATTAGCAAAAAATATTTGTTGACAAAATTTTTAAACCAATTTTGGGGAGTGGCACATTTAAGTTTTTTTTTTTTTAGCTAAATTAAATGTTATTTTTGATATTGTATTTTTTTATGGTTCAGAAAGGTGTTGTTTTTAAAGTAAGTCGGTCGGTCTGTTGTTTTTAGAACTATATTTAAAAATTTTAACAAATTTGGAGAAAAGTCATTCAAAATTCCAATCGTTAACTAAGTTAACATTATTTTTAAAAGCTGTAATGCAAAAAAAGTCTAGTGTTTTAACTTGTCTATTGATTGGCATATAGACCAATCTATTGACTAGTCTATGGATTAGTCTACTGACTAGTCTATGGATTAGTCTACTGACTAGTCTATGGACTATTCTATTGACTAGTGTATGGACTATTCTATTGACTAGTCTATGGACTATTCTATTGACTAGTCTATGGACTATTCTATTGACTAGTCTATGGACTATTCTATTGACTAGTCTATTGACTAGTCTATGGACTAGTCTATTGACTAGTCTATGGGCTAGTCTATTGACTAGTCTATTGTCTAGTCTATGGATTAGTCTTTTGACTATTGTATCGACTATTCTATGGACTAGTCTTTGGACTAGCCTATTGTCTAGTCTATGGATTAGTCTTTTGACTACTATATCGACTATTCTATGGACCTAGTCTTTGGACTAGTCTATGGACTAGTTTTTGGACCAGGCTACTGACTAGTCTTTGGACTAGTCTAATGACTACTCTGTGGACTAGTCTATTGACTAGTCTATGGACTAGTCTATTGACTAGTCTATGGACTAGTCAATTGACAAGTCTATGGACTAGTCTATTGTCTAGTCTATGGACTACTCTATTGTCTAGCCTATGGACTAGTCCTTTGAATAGTGTATCGACTTCTCTATGGACTAGTCTATGGACTAGTCTTTGGACTAGTCTATGGACTAGTTTTTGGACTGGTCCATGGACTAGTCTATTGACTAGTCTATGGACTAGTCTATGGAGTAGTATTTTGATTAGTCTACGGACTATTCTATTAATTAGTCTATGGACTAAACTATTACGTAGTCTATGGACTAGTCTTTTGATTAGTCTATGGAATAGTCTATGGACTAGTCTTTTGATTAGTCTATGGAATAGTCTATGGACTAGTCTAGTGACTAGTCTATGGACTAATCTATTACCTGGAATAGTCTGTTGATTAGTATTTTGACTAGTATATGGACTAGTCTTTTGACTAGTCTATGGACTAGTCTATGGACTAGTCTATGAACTAGTCTTTTGATTAGTCTGTGGACTAGTCCATTGACTAATCTATAGACTACTCTATAGGCTACTCTATGGACTAGTCTTTGGACTAGTCTTTGGACTAGTCTTTGGACTAGTCTTTGGACTAGTATATTGACTAGTCTTTTGACTAGTCTATGGACTATTCTATTGACTAGTATATGGACTAGTCTATTGGCTAGTATGTGAACTAGTCTAGACTAGTCTATCGGCTACTCTATGGACTAGTCTTTGGACTAGTATATTGACTAGTCTATGGACTAGTCTTTGAACTAGTATATTGCCTAGTCTATGGACTAGTCTATTGACAAGTCTTTTGACTAGTATATGGACTAATCTATTGATTATTGACTAGTCTATGAACTAGTCTATGGACTAGCCTTTTGATTAGTCTGTGAACTAGTCTATTGACTAGTATATTGGTAAGTCTATTGATTAGTCTATTGACTAGTCTATGGGCTAGTATTTTGACTAGTCGATTTAATAGTGTGGTCTATGGACTAGTGTTTTAACTGGTCTGTGCACTAGTGTATAAACTAGTTTATGGACTAGTCAATAGATTAGTCTTTTGACTAGCCTTTTGACTTGTCTAGTCTCTCTACTATTGACTAGTCTATTGGCTAATCTATTGTCTAGTCTTTTGACCAGTTTTGGACAAGTCTTTTGACTAGTCTATGGGCTAGTCTATTGATATGTCTATTGACTAATCTATGGACTAGTATTTTGACTAGTCTATTTTCTAGTCTATTGACTAGACTACGGACTGGTCTATTGACTAGAGTATGGACTGGTCTATTGATTAGTATATGGACTAGTCCATGAACCGTGACTAGTGTCTGGACTAGTCTATTGACTAGCATCTTAATTAGTCAATTGACTATTATCTTAACTAGTCTATGAACTAGTTTATTGACTCGTGGACTAGTCTATATATTAGTCTATAGACTAGTCCATTGTCTAATCTATGGACTAGTCTATTGAATTGTCCATTAACTAGTGTATGCCTAGTCTATTGACTTGTCTAGTAACTAGTGTATGGACTAGTATATTGACTACTCCATGGACTGGTCTTAACTAGTAAATTTACTATGGACTAGTAGTTTATTAACCAGTAAGCTATCAATATATTGATATAGACCATTGCCTACTCTATGGACTAGTCTATAAACTAAATTTAAATATTAACAATAAACCTAGCGGTTGTATAACCAAAATTGTGTTAAAAATTATAAAAATTTCTTTGTTGTTTTGCAACCATCAACCAGCCCTTTTTAAGAAAAAAAAAAAAGAAGAAATGAATTGTTTGTTTTATGATTCTAAAATTATATGTAGATTAGATAATGTGTTTTTGTAAAGAAAACAAACAAGCCTTTTTTTTGTGGTGCTAAAAAATATATGAATTTAATTTTGCTATAATTTAATAAAATGAAAAAGAAAACAACAATATATGATGACGTTATCAATTAAATTGTTACAAAAAATTCAGACGAAAAGGCAAATAACAAATAAAAATACGTACGTTTCACATTTTTTTTGTCGAATTAACTTTTGGCTTTTGTTCATTTCAGTTAAGAAGATGTTCATAATAATAAATTTAAACATTTAGTTTTTTTTGGATAATTTTTTACGTATTTTGTGGATTTTTATAGCAAAAAATTTTTGTCTTTAGCTGCTGGTTTTTTGAGGTTGTGTTTGTTAAAAATTTTCAGGTATCTATCTACCTGTTTTTTTTTTTTTTTTTTTTTTCAAAAGAGAGAGAGAGAGAGAGCTATTGCTCTCTAGTTGAAAACATATGTCGCAGTTTATAGAGAGCAGGTAGTTTTTTAAACATTTTAATGCGCATGTGTTTTTAAAAGAGTGTTTTCTGGTTTTTCTTTTGCCTTATAAAGTAAATTAATAGAGTGTTTTCTGTTGAATAACACTCAATTTCAATTGATTTATTTTACACATTGAGTGCTTTTTAACACATTTTATATAATTTTAGTTAAAGCATAATAGCGAAGCAGAGAGAGAGAGAGAAAGAGAGTGTGTGTTAGAGATTTAGAGAGTGTTTAGAATATTTGAATGAATTTTAATAATTTAGAAATTTTTAGAAGCTAAAAACATATAAAAGTCTCTTTAATATTTAGCAGACTTTCAGTCGCCTTTCAAAACTGTTAAAGAAAACATTATTGTACTTTTTTTTATAAAAAAAAATAAATTTTTATAAAATTTTTTTAAAAAACTAAATAAAATTCTTAAAAAATTTATTTGAAATAAAAAGAACTTTTTTTATTATAACAAAGAAAAAACCCTATAAAGTGTTCAAATTAAACTCTTGAGTTGAAATAAAACCAAAATTACTCTTTTGAGATAAAATAAAGCTTTTCAAAAAAAAAAAGCTTTTTATAAGCACCGGTTGGTGGTTGCTCTTAAGCTCAATTATATGCTCTTTTTAAATAAAAACTCAAAATTTTCATGTATATTGTAAGGTTTTCTTATACAGAAAATCAGTTATTGCTAAACGTTTGCTTAAAAAACACTACAAAACTAAAACAATATTAATTTAAAAAAAAATTATAAAAAATAATAAAAAAAAATTTTTTAAAAAAGAAGAAGAAAAAGAAAGAAATCATTTCATATACAATATAGATTTGGTGCCTTTGCTCACACATAAAAAATTTTTTAATAACAAAAAATTGAAAATAAATTTAAAGAAAAAATTAAAAAAAATTTTAATAAATAAAAACTTTAAAAAATTTAATAAAATTAAAAATTATTAAACAAAATCAAACAGAAAACAGCTTGAAATTAATAAAAACCCAAAAAAAACTGTGATTTAAAATAAAACAAGAAATTTAAATAAAAAAAGAAATAAAATTTTTATAAAAATAAAACCCAAAATACAACACATATCACTTTTAAAAAGTGTTTTTTTATTGAAAAAAAATCTCACAAAATCTCAAAAGACTGTGTTTAAGCCTGAAAGCTAAGAACTTTCTATAAACTTTATAACAAAAGAAAAAAAATTTTTAAAAATTCAATTTAAACAATTTATATTGAAAAAACTTGTAATCAACAATAAAATGTTGGGTACCATGTCTATGCGTCAACCAGAAAATTGGTTATATGAAATTTGGCAAAAGGGCCAGGACAGCCCCTGCTATGTGATGGTGCCAAATGCTAAAGTACGTATTAAAATAAAAAAACATTTTTTTTTTTTGTTCAAAAAACACTCATAAATTTTTATTGATTTTGCACTAAAAACCTAACTACTACATAGATAGATATTAAATAGAAACGAGTAGAAATTAGACAAAATATAGGAAAAATGGAAAAATGTAAAAATAATAGTGGTGACAACTAATTAAGCAAAAAAACAAAAATTTAGTATAAAACAAAGAAACCATGAAAAAAGTTGAGTAATTGGCAACAGAAATTGCAAAAATTTAATAAAAAATTAAAAATAAATTTTTTAAATTAAATTTTAATAAAAAATAAGTTTAAAAAAAATTTTTAATAAAATTGTCAAAATGAAGTTTTGAAGTTAGAGTTAAAGAAAATAATTTTAGAAAAAATTTTTTCAATAAAAAACAAATTAAATTAAAACATTAAACAAAGAACTTTTGAAAAAATTAAAAAAAAATATATATATATATATATAAAAATTAATTAAATTAAAATAAAAAAATATAAAGCTTTAAAAATTAAAAACAAAATGTGTCTAAATATTATTTATAAATTAAAAAAAAAAATTTTTAAATTTTATATTTTAAGTTTTAATTTAATTAAAAAATGAGTAAAAAAATTAAGAAAATTTTTAATTTAAAAAAATTGTCTAAAATTGGAACTAAATTGCATAAAAATTAAAAAAAAAAATATATATTTAAAAATAACTTAAATTACAAATTGGAAAAAGTTTTTAAAAGAAATTGACAATAAAAGTTCATTTAATAAAAAAAAAATTAAACAAAATTGATGAAAAAATCGAAAATTTTTAAAATATTTGCCAAACTTTTGAAAGCTGTACAGTTTTTATTAAATTCTTTAAATTGAAAAGCTTTTACAACTTGTAAAAGTCTAAATTGCTGCCATTTTTTTTTTGAAAATTAAATTAAATAACTTAAAAGCTTTCTTAAAACTTTTAAAAGTCTAAATTCCTGCAGTTTATAGCAAATTTAATAAAATAACTTTCATCCACTTAAAAAGCTAAATGAACCTATAAGCTTTATTGCTTATAACTTTTAAAAAGTCTAAATTCCTCAACTTTTTGGCAAACTTTAAACAACTAACAAAAAAGCTTAAAGAATTTGTTAAAGTAAAGTTAAAATAAAGCTTTTCTAAAATAGCAAACTTTCAAAATTTGAAAATTTTTTAATTTTAGTAAAATAGATGAATTTTGTTAAAATAGAAAAAAAAAAATCATAAATTTTTGAAAAGCTAACTTTTTAAAAACCGAACAAATTTGTGAATAATGCTCCAATTCTCAGCAGAATCTAGCATATGAAATTTAAAGGAACATTTTAAAAATAATTATAAAAAGCTGATTTTTCATGAACTTTTTTTAAAGAAAACTTTTAAAAATTTAAATTTTTGTATAAGCTTTTTGTAAAATTTTATAAAATAAAATATGTGAATGTAAAAGCTAAAAGAATCATATTAAAAACAAAAAGCTTAAAGCTTAAAAACTTTTCTAAACAATTTGTTTGGCAAACTTTTCTTTTTGTGAGCTTTCCCTTAAGAACTTTTTAAACTTCAAATTCGTTTACATTTTGTCAAACTAAACAAAGCTAAAACAACCAATACAAAATATTTAAAGCTTTTCAATTCGATTTGCTTTTGGTTAACTTTTCTTTTTGTGAGCATTTTCTTAAGAACTTTTGAAACTTCAAATTCGTTTATTTTGTGTAAAACTTAACAGCTAAAACAATTATTTGAAAAATAAACCTTTATTTAAAGCTTTTCTATTCGATTTCTTTAGCAAACTTTTCTTCACTGTGAAATTTTTCTTAAGAAATTTTAAAACTTCAAATTCGTTTTCATTTTGCTAAACTTAAAGCTAAAAAATAAGCTTTTGAACAGTTTTTCAAACAATAAATTCATTAATATCTCATTTGTAAACTTTTTCTTAAGAACTTTTAAAACTTAAAGTTGTTCCTTAGATAACTTGTACTTAAGAACTTTTGAAACTTCAAAGCGTTTAAAGCTTTTAAAACTGTTTTTCTAACATTAAACTATTAAAAAAATTTGTTGTAAATTATTGAAGTTTTTTTTGGAAAGCTTTTGCAAACTTGAGTTTGCGCAAACAAAGCGTAAAACTGCACAAACTCACAAAACAAATGGAAAAATTAGGTTTTCGATTATCTAACTGAAGCAGAGTTTTAGCCAAACGAAAACAGATTTGTGCAAACCACTTACTTGTCTTTAATAGCAACCTTTCTAATCATATTTATGAGCTTGGCAATTTGCGCAAACGTAAAAATTTTCTAATTTAAACTTTCTACAGCTTTGATTTACTATTTCCAAAACAAACTGTCAAACTGTTTTTGATTAAAACTACAATTTTATTCAAATTTATGTATTAATTGACTTTTGCTTTAAACAAATTTTAAAAATTATTCAAAATGCTTGCCACCTACTTTTTTACAAAAATTAATTCAATAACTTTTGAAAATATTAGACAACATGTAAAACAAGCACCCACTTAACAATCTTAAAATATATTTTGTAAAGTGCTGCCCACATATTGAGAATAGACAAAATATTGAAACATGTCATAAAAAAATGCACTTGAAATTTTTAGAAAAAACTAACCTTAAATTAGCTAAATATTACAACTAGAAAAAAAACACTTGTTTTAAGGTTTTTTTTTTCGAAAAAAAAAACTACCTGCTGTTTAGTTCTGCTCAGTTTGAGGTCAATTTCCCAACATGTGTTGTTTTTACAAAAAATATCTATTGTCTCTGTTGTGCCTTCTTTGTCTTTTATAAAAATTATATGTGATGTTTAAGAATTTAGACGCCTTTAGTTGATGATTATTTGTCTGATTTATCTTATTGTTTGGCATCCAATTGCGTTGGTCAAAGACAGACACGCAAACACTTTTAAAGTGTTTTTTATATTTATTTTTGAAATCTCAGCTGTTTGTTTTTTATATATATATAAAATTAAATTTAGTACTGAGTTTTTCTATCTCTCTCTCCAGTTGTTTAAAATGATTCATATTTGTTTTATTAATCCAAAGCAAAGGCAAACCATTTTTCTTTACAATTCAAGTTCACATAAGTTTGAATATTTTTGAAAAGAAAATTTTAATATATTTTTTAAATTTGCCCTTTAAAATGTTTTTAAGTTTATTAAAAGAGATTTTAAAGATTAACATGTTTTACGGGGGGAATTTTTAGAAAATTTAGGTATAAATCTTTTTAATTTTTGAAAAAAAGAAAACAATTTTTATTTAAATGAATCATTTGCCAGAGGTATAGGGGGAAACACTTATAAGATTTATTGAAAAACAACTTTTTGGCAACTGTTTAGAGTATTTAAAAACTTATTTTGTTGCTGGCAACATGTTGCTAAGGATGAATATATTTTCTTTAACAAAATTTGTCAAATAAATCCAATTTTATATGTTGATTATTTTTATAAACAAATTCATTAAAATTTTACTTGTTTAGATTAATTATAAACAATTTTTGAATGCTGGCAACATGTTGCTAAGGAATTCTAGACTAATCCATAGTTTGGTCTATAGTCTATTCTATAATCTATTGCATAGTCTAGTCAATATTATAGTCTCATCTATAGTTTTAGTTTATAGTCTAGTCTAAAGTCGAGTCGATAGTCTAATCTTTAGTCTAGTCTATGGTCTTGTTTATAGACTTGTCTAAAGTCTAGTCTATGGTCTAGTCTATAGTATAATATATAGTCTAGTCTATAATCTAGTGTATAGTCGAGTCTATAGTCTAGTCTATAGCCTAGTCTATAGCCTAGTCTATAGCCTAGTCTAGTCAATAGTCTAGTCTAAAGTCTAGTCTATAGTCTAGTCTATAGTCTAGTCTATAGTCTAGTCTATAGTCTAGTCTATAGTCTAGTCTATAGTCTAGTCTATAGTCTAGTCTATAGTCTAGCCTATAGTCTAGCCTATAGTCTAGCCTATAGTCTAGCCTATAGTCTAGTCTATAGTTTAGTCTATAGTCTAGTCTATAGCCTAGTGTATAGTCTAGTCTATAGTCTAGTCTATAGTCTAGTCTATAGTCTAGTCTATAGTCTAGTCTATAGTCTAGTCTATAGTCTAGTCTATAGTCTAGTCTATAGTCTAGTCTATAGTCTAGTCTATAGTCTAGTCTATAGTCTAGTCTATAGTCTAGTCTATAGTCTAGTCTATAGTCTAGTCTATAGTCTAGTCTATAGCATAGTCTATAGTCTAGTCTATAGCATAGTCTATAGTCTAGTCTATAGTGTAGTCTATAGTCTAGTCTAGTCTAGTCTATAGTCTAGTCTATAGTCTAGTCTATAGTCTAGTCTATAGTCTAGTCTATAGTCTAGTCTATAGTCTAGTCTATAGTCTAGTCTATAGTCTAGTCTATAGTCTAGTCTATAGTCTAGTCTATAGTCTAGTCTATAGTCTAGTCTATAGTCTAGTCTATAGTCTAGTCTATAGTCTAGTCTATAGTCTAGTCTATAGTCTAGTCTATAGTCTAGTCTATAGTCTAGTCTATAGTCTAGTCTATAGTCTAGTCTATAGTCTAGTCTATAGTCTAGTCTATAGTCTAGTCTATAGTCTAGTCTATAGTGTAGTCTATAGTCTAGTCTACAGTTTAGTCTATAAGCTAGTTTATAATCTAGTCTACTGTCTAACCTATAGTCTAGTCTATAATCTAGTCTACAGTCTAACCCATAGTCTGATTCATAGTCTATAGTCTAGTCTATAGCCAATTCTATTGCCTAGTCTATAGTCTAGTATATAGTCAAGTATATAGTCTAGTCTATAGTTTAGTCTATAGTCTAGTCTATAGTCTAGTCTACAGTCTAGTCTTGTCTACAGTCTAGTCTAGTCTAGTCTACAGTCTAGTCTACAGTCTAGTCTATAGTCTAGTCTATAGTCAAGTCTATAGTCAAGTCTATAGTCAAGTCTATAGTCAAGTCTATAGTCTAGTCTATAGTCTAGTCTATAGTCAAGTCTATA